CTAGTAAGCTAGTGTATATCAAACTTTTGTAAGTAAAAAAAATTAACTCAAAAGTAAATAAAAAATTCTCCAAAGTAAATTAAAATCATTAACCGAAAAGGGTTGCTGGTTTATTTTGCTCCTCATTGAGTCACTGATAGAGTTTAGTATGTCTCTTCTATGAGTCAATAACTATATCATTTATTTATGAAGTGGTTGAATCAGCCGACGAATTTTCATGTATACATTATAAGCCTTTGAAGTGACTAAACGCTTTAGTAAAAATATACCTATTGTCTACAAGATCTGCCGGACAGCTGGTCTGGTTGTTGTTAAACGCTGAGCATAGGTCTCGACTGTTGGCTAAATATGATAGAAACAACACCAGCAATAACAGAAACAGAGCTGCTGCATACATACACCCTAAGCACTTGAATCTTATCAGAAAGAATTAGTGTAACCAAGATTCAAACAAGGCAATTAGGCATATATACGGTTATTAAATTTTGCATGATCTGTCTGTGCACTTAATGTCATTTACTTTGCTTAACCTTAGGCGCTCGATGCGTTTCTGTATTTCTGATCAATATGCAGGGACAAATTACCATGATATATTGAATGACAACGAAAGGCTTATAAAAAACTTGTATATTACATCGAATAAAGTATATTTATGCTAATCCTGCATTCCTACTACCTTAAACAAGTCTGATAATCACTTTCGTTACGTCAGTTTATATGAGGAAATTCTAGGAAGAACTTGCTGGACCATATGTGCACTAATTCACTAATTATATATGCTACAAAAAAGATAAGCATTATAACTTAAAGCTATTAACTAACCTCCATTTCATAATGTGTCATATTAACAAGGAGTATATTCTTTGCATCAATGTAATTATATAATCTGTCAACATCAGATTAGTGAACATAATTATCAGATCCTAGCACAAAATCATTTAAGCAGGCAAATCCTCAGTCTTATACTCACATCAGTTATTAGATATGAATACAAAAGAATTGTTCACACTGCTTATAAACACACCTAGCTCATCACTCACACTCATTAATACACACATACCAATTACTCCGAACAACTCATACATATCAAAACTTATCTACGATCCATCATACAAACTCCCACAAATCACACAAATGTAGGTCCATCCAGAAAACCAAATCAATACATCTCTCAAATCCAAAAAGAATCACTATCCAGTACAATAAAATCTAATTTAAAATGATAAAAAAAATGAACAGAAACTAGCAAAAAAAAAAAAAAAAAAAAAAAAAAAACCTTCTGCACTTGATTACTCTTTGTTTTCAATTTTATTTTCAATACTATTTAGTAATATCTTTTATATATCAAGTGTAATTAAACTAAACTCCAACAACTCATTATTTGTGTACTCTGAATATTAGGAAAATTTAAAAGTAAACAAAAAAAAGACAAAAGTAAATCAAAGCATCTTAAAAATAAATCATGCTAATTCCAAAAATAATAAGGTGGGTCTGATGTTTCAGAGCTAACTTATTTGATTTGGTGAATTGAAAAAGGCTTATTGCCAAGATAGAAGCCATCAAGAGAGTCAACCTTTATCCATATTAGAGAAATTACCACCTAAATCAGCAAGGTTGGCAATATGATGCACATACATAGCACAAATGATCAACAGTGATGCATTGTTGATAAAAAAAGGAGCAACTTTCCATTATGTTGATATCCTTATTGCAAATATCATATATTTACAAAGCAAATACGAGGACATGTCATTAATAACCTCAGATTGAAGAATATATAAGAAAACAATACCAAAACAACTATGCAAAACTAGTAACAATTTGGGCATACAAATTAAATAAGCTGGTCTCAATTATTCAATTAATTTGAGCAATTGATCACAATTGTACTAAATTAAACACCTAAGCTAGCAAACTAGCATTACATTCAGTCCATTAAGTCAGGCATTTCATCAATCACTTGGCGTGCAACAAAATAAAGCACTAAAAAACTCAACAACCATTCTGATATTCATATTCAAAATTAAGGACATAAAGACTAATTGAAACCCATACATCGGCATAGTTTAGTCTCAAGATTCTTCAGCTCCTTCATACTTAAGCTGCTCAAAACAAAACCGAATACAATAATTCCAATCGAATTCCTATTAATGAAAATCAGCAATGCAACTGAAATCTAAACAGTCTAGCAAATCGTGAGAAGACACAACAAAAATTACAATAAAATCTGAAAAAAAAAAAAAAATTAACAATCAAAATTGAAAATACGCAAATATTTAATTGTAAAATTCCTAATATATCGATTGCAATCACAAGTACTCAAACAAATAATTGGACAACCCTAATTTTCGCAATCAAAATCGCAAAAACTTGTTTCAAAATCGATTAAATTAAAGAAAACAATGATTATGAAAAATCAAATCAACTTACCACCCATTAATTTGCTAGAACAAAAGATTAGAAGTTGCAAAGTTGAGGACGTGCGATGATATTATATAAATCGCAATAGAGAGAATTTACAGGAGGAGAGAGAAAATATGATGAAGAGAGAGAAAGTAAAAACAGAAGCTGGGAAAATTTTTAGGGTAGTCATTCAAACACGTAATGACCATTTTACCCTTAATGAAGCAGGTAGAATGACAACCGTAAGATGATACACGATCAACGACCGAGATGAGTTCTCAATTCTCATTATAAACCTAAATTTTCACGGATTTTTTATGAAACTGAGCCAAATTGAAAAACAATTTACGAAAATAGACGCGTGGCAAAACTATTTACGAAACTGAGCTTCAGAGGTAAAACGCTGACTCAGTCAGCGTTTTACCCCTTTTTTTTTTTTTTAAATTTCGTATTTTAAAATGCCAAATTAAAAAAACATGAAATACAATGAAACGCTGCCTGAGGCAGCGTTTCATTAACAAGGAAAAGACGCTGCCTCAGGCAGCGGTTTTTGCAGGTATTTTGCCACAGAAAACCGCGACATCACATCATTCACTCTACTTCAAACTCTCTCAAACGGATATTCCCTCGTTGTACTCGCCGTCCCCGCCGCCGAAAAGTGTGCTGTCGCCGCCGTCGCCGCCTTGTTGGTACTCTCTCTCAAACTCTCCTCTTCATTTAATGACATTGTTGGTACTTCTCTTTGTTTTTAAAATTTTAAAACCTAGGTTAGTTTGATAATTATATACTACATTGTTTTAATTTGATAATGTTGTTGATTATTCTAAGTTAGTTTGATGTAAATTGATAATTATGTTGATAATTCTAAGTTAGTTTGTTGTAATTTGATAATAGTTTAGTATAAAAGCCCTAAATTGATGTTAGTTTAGTAAGAAAGTTTATGATGAAATTGTGGAAATGTTTGATAAAAATGTTGAAAATGTTGATGAAATTGTTAATGAAATTGTTGTTTTAATTTGATAAAATAGCTTACATTGTTGTTTAATTACGAAAATTATGTTATGTAGAATATGTTGGTTGTTATAGTGTGAATATGTTCGTTGTGTACTTTGTTTTGGTTGTTATGTGAATCGGAACAATGATGGTTAATTATGTTTATAATGTGAATTTCTTGGTTGTTATTGTGCGAATTGGTGGAGATTTCATGCAATTAAGATGTGTTTTTGGTTGTTGTATAGAATATGGCTGCACAAAACGCAGCTTTGTTATGCCGATGGGGGGGTGAATTTGTGTTTGATGGACCGAATGTCCAGTATAGTGGTGGAAATATGGAACCATTGCCACTTGGACCAAACATGACTTTCAACGATCTGATGAACGAGGTTCATAGCATTATTGGCTTAAACCCAATGAATGTACAACTTAACATTCAAATGAGGTTTGAGACTAATAATGCGGTTCAAGTGTTACCTTGTTCTAACGATAGACATTTGAAAGCTTTGAGGAGTGCTGTTTTAATGAGGGGTTATCCACATGAGATATATGTAGAAATAGTGTCTACGTGTACGCAACAAAGTACTCGACCAGATTAACAAACTACCTATTTTTCCGGTTACACAGAGTCCTTCCGAATGCCCTCACAAGACATTCCATCAACTGAATATGGGATGGGGTCCTTCAGCAGACTGCTTCATGACGATCGGTTCCAGATGCCGTTGAGTTCACATATAGCACCTGTATATGGTGGAACATCTACGACAATGTTTGGCCAATCTGGGCCTTCGACATCGAACACAGCTATATCTTCTCCCACGCAACTCCAAAGTTATTCACCTACGCAGCATGATGATCATACATCACCGTCTCAACCATTGGTGAATCATCTTGAAAATCTACAACATATGGTGAATAACGAGTTGTCTCTGTATGATGCGCTCCGGGAAACAAATGATGAGGCTGAGAGCGAAGAGGAGGAACATGGACTGGATAACATGGATGTTGATTCTACAGACATGGAAGGTGGGGAGGCCATGGTTAGAACTCCTATTCCTTGGTTAAGTCAAGTAAATGAGAATTATGAGGTTGATCAATATTGGGCCGAATCAGGTAGTCATACAACATTTGTGATCGGGGGGGAGTTTGAGAAGGGTATGTTCTTTGAATCTAAGAAACTGCTTCAGGAAATGGTGAAGAAGTATTCTATACAAAGGAACCAATTCTACACCACAGTGACCTCGAATGAGAAGGTCCTTCATCTGCGGTGCAAGAAGAATTGTGGTTGGTCGCTATGAGGCACTAAAAAAAGTGAGCACTTAGACGGCTTTACCATAGTCACATACAAAGGCCCGCACCGGGACACCTGTGTCACTGAAGTGTTATCTACAGATCATGCACACTTGGATTCATCCATAATTTCCGATTTTGTGAAGTCTTTTGTGCAGAAAGATCCATGCTTGAAAGTTGAATTTATACAGGAACTCATATCCAAGCATTTTCAGTTCGACGTTACTTAACGAAGAGCATGGTATGCTAGGGAGAAAGCCATAGCTGAAGTATTTGGAGATTGGGAGAGTTCTTATGGCCGACTTCCGCACTTCATGGAAGCACTCAAACAGTCAAACCCGGGAACCGTTGTTGTATGGAAACACAAAGCTCTGGTAGATGGTGTTTATAACAGCAACTTGGAAGTGTTTGAACAAGTATTTTGGGCCTTCGACCCTTGTGTTGAAGGTTTTAAACATTGTATGTCTGTCATCTGTATCGATGGGACGCATTTGTACGGGAAATATAAAGGAACATTGTTGGTTGCTACAAGTGTGGATGCAAACTTCCAAGTGTTTCCGCTTGCATTTGCGTTAGTCGAAGGGGAAAACATTTCCAGCTGGTCTTGGTTGCTGGGCTGCATTCGGGTTCATGTCACTCAACGGGATGACCTCTGTGTTATATCTGATCGACATGCTGGGATCATTGCAGCAATGAATGACCCTAATGTTGGATTCACCGAGCCGCGAGCCTATCACAGGTTTTGTGTTCGGCACTTGGCTTCTAACTTGAAGACTCACGTGCGAAGAAACGACATGAGAGATATGTTCAAGGCTGCTACGTACCAAAGGCAGGAAAGAAAACTAGTAGTTGATATGAGTTTGATCGGTCAGGCATGTACCAAGGCCATACAGTATATTGTCTAAGTGCCCTTGCCTATATGGTCTTTGTTTCACGATGCTGGTCGCAGATATGGGATATGTACTACGAACTTCTCAAAAACATTTAACAATGTGTTGAAGGGTGCTCGATTTCTACCTATCATGTCCCTTGTTGAATTAACATTCCACAGAGTCAATAAGTATTTCCCTAATAGAAGGGAATTATCTCAGGCTAGATCTGAACAGGGACTTGCATACCCCCCCAAAGTCACTTCCATTATGGAGAAAAACATTGCAAAGGCCAGATATCACAAAGTGGAAGCGTATAACCGTCGACTGCATATATATCAAGTTGAAACAGGATAGAGAGCCGTTACACCAAATTGATGAGTCAGAATAAGATAGAATTATCTGATTTATTTGCTGTAATGACCTTCTCTAGTTTGTTGTACATAACACTTACATTACATTATTATTTTAATAATTATTTGAATGAATTTATGTCTTGTTTGAATTTGAAATTCCTTATTTGTCCACATTTGACTCATTTCGTTCAAAATAAATTGTGGATGTGGAGGAGGGTGGTGGTGGTGGTAGAGGATGTGGAGGAGGAGGGTGGTGGTGGTGGTGGATGTGGAAGAGGAGGGTGGTGGAGGTGGATGTGGAGGAGGAGGGTGGTGGAGGTGGTGGATATGGAGGAGGAGGGTGGTGGAGGATGTGGAGGAGGAGGGTGGTGGATGTGGAGGAGGAGGGTGGTGGAGGTGGTGGATGTGGAGGAGGAGGGTGGTGGTGGTGGTGGATGTGGAGGAGGAGGGTGGTGGATGTGAAAGAGGAGGGTGGTGGTGGTGGTGCATGTGGAGGAGGAGGGTGGTGGTGTTGGTGGATGTGGAGAGGGTGGTGGATGTGGAAGGGGGCTGCTGTTGGGGGCCTGCTGTTGCTGGCTTCAGCCAGCAGATAAAACGCTGACTGAGGCAGCGTTTTATGCTTAGGAATAAAACGCTGCCTCAGTCAGCGTTTTCTCCTGTTATGCATACACAAAAAACGCTGACTGAGTCAACGTTTTACTGTATTTCCAATTTTTTTTTTTTTAAATTTGTATTTCACAAAATACAAATTTTTTTTAAAAAAATAATAACCAAGGTAAAACGCTGACCGAGTCAGCGTTTTACATCAGAAGCTCAGTTTCGTAAAAGTTTGGCCACGCGTCTAGATTGGTAAATTGTTTGCCAATTAAGCTTACTTTCTTAAAAAAATCCAATTTTCACATGATCTCGATTATATATTTATAAAATTTCTTTAAATTTTTTTTTTCAATAGAAAAAGTTAACCTTGGTTGAACTCTATGTTAGCCTTAATCGAAAAATTATTATTAAGGTCACGGTTATAAAAAAAATGTAAAAGTTCAGGTCTACCAACGAGAATAAAAATACAGAAAAAAAAATTCTTCCTCCGTGTTTAAATAAATGAAACGTTTTTCTTTTCAAGCCGTGTTTAAATAAATGATATGTTTCCTTTTTCGATAGAAATAGTTTCTCTATTTTTTAATATATATTATTTTTATTTTTTTAAAATAATATTCTACTAACTTATGATCCTTACAATATACCCCTTACTTTCTTCTCTCTCTTCAAACTTATACCTCATTAGTCATTACCTATTTTTTTTTTTAATAAATTTAACTAATCTTTCTTAAACTCCGTAAAGAATATAAAGGAATAAAAAAGCAAGACTACTATTGAAAATTTCCCTCAAATAATTTTAGACTAATTGTGTCAAAAAAAAAAAAAAAAAAAAATTAGACTTAAAAGAATTTGACGACCAACCGACCCACCACTAACCGAACAACAATTATTCACATAAACACAAAATAGTGAAATAAGGCATATTCGAATAATAATTCAATCAAATGTTATCCATAATTATTTTTTACTTCGTACGATATGATGTTGACCTTTAACCCATCAACTATCAGAGCCTGACGTGTTGCCACGTGTCGTCATAGTGGGTCCCATCTTCTTCTCCTTTCTGCCAATCCATTTCTTTACCAGTTTTTTTTTCCCTCTGCCCCTTGAATTCGACTTCTATCTCCTTTTCTTTCCCAACAAGAAAGTTTTTCAAATTAAACTTCAATTCATTTCAAGTTAATTGTTAAACATTGAATTTCTTCCATTTTATTCACTATTCCAGATCTAGTGTATTATGAGCTTCCATAATCTGGGTTTTTTACCAGTTATTGAAGTGTAAATATTTCTGGGTTCATTCCAAATTTGTTCAAATTGCTCTAAATTTGGAATATTTGGTGAAGTATTTCGTGGGGTTGTATCAAATACACTGAGATTGCATCTGGGTATGATTCTGCATTGTTATTATAGGATAAGCTTTTCTTGGTTCAATCCAAATTGATTAGTGTAGGTCATAGTTGATATTCTTGGGTGAATCATGATAATAACATGGTCATTATTATTATTTTTATTATAATTTAGGATAAGATCGAAGGGTTCAATACAAATCAATCGCCCAATTTGTGTAAAAAATTGGATTTCTGGGTGGTTTTTTTTTTTTTTTTTTCCTGAGAATTGTTTGAAAAATGGTGGCAGTGAAAGTGAAACTGGGTATGTTACACTATGTATTAGACCATGTATATGGTGCATTTGTGCACAGAACAAGAATAAGCCCACTATTTTTTTCAAGAGGTTGGGGTGGAACCAAACTTGAATTGCTAGAAAGGCTAATTAAGCAACTTTTCCCAGAAATTGAAGGCCAGAATTGGCCGCCTCAGTTGATTCAACCAAGTTGGAAAACTGTTTGGGAGACGAAAACTGCTTGTTTGAGAGAAGGGGTTTTTAGAACTCCTTGTGATGAACAGCTTTTGAGTGCATTGCCCCCTGAAAGTCATGTTGCTAGGGTTGCTTTTCTCACTCCTAAGTCGTTTGATCCGGAGAAGATGGCCTGTGTGGTTCATCTTGCAGGTACATTATTGATTTTATGCTCGGTTTCTATACCATGTCACGATTTTGACCATTAATTGTTTGAGTTTTGTTGGTAGTGTTGATTGGCTACTTGTAATTAGTTTCTAGCATGAGTTATTTGAGTTTGAATTAGCATATATGTTCAACGAATGAGGTTAATTATAGATGACTAGTGGATTTGAACTATAGTTAAATTTCGAGTTAAAGCTTGTTAATTTTGAATGTTTGATTATTAATTTCTTCAATTATGATGCAAATGGCTCTAGCTGGATTAATTTTAAGGATTGGTTATCCATGAATTACTCCATTTGAGTTACTAGATGGGGGAGAGTGAGATGACTAAGGTTATTGATGGAGCAATGTAGTCAAGGTGAATGTGCCTGGTTTCATGTTAAAGCTAGTCTGTCCTATGCTATCCCATTTCTTTGGTAAGGCATTTTTGTGTTACAGGTAGTGTGATCAATGAAAACATTAAGAGCATGTTTGGTAAGGGTATTATTTTTTGTTGGAAATGGATTCAATTAAACCATTATTGTTATCAAGTGTTGGGTTAGAAGGTTTGGGTAACAATTTCCATTACTTAGGGATAATGGTTTTCACTTATTTGTTACCTCTCTAAAACATAAGGTTACAATTAACCTTACCCTCCTAAATCAAAAAGAAATGGAGTTAAGTTTCAGTGATTTCTTTTCATAGTTTAATCAAACAAATCAACAGGTCTGCGTTTAATGATTCTTTTTCCTCATATTATTTGTTTCCTTTCCATTTCGTTTCTAGTATTCGTACCAAATGCCCCCCTAAATAGCTAGCGGAATATAGTCTTTTACTTGGGTGAGCATGAGTTAGTACATTTAGGAAGCTTTGGTCGTGTAATTTTCTAATTTTTCCGAAATTAAATGAATTGTGGTGCTTAATGTTGAAGAAGAGCAACCTGCTATTTGTGGACTTTGAGCAATATGATGAATTTTTTATTTCGGAATTGGAAGTTTGGAACTTTGGTTACTTTGATTGGGATGGTTTGTGGAATTGTTTTGCAGCTGTTGTTTTCTTTCTTTCTCTCTTTCTTTTTTTAATCTCATCTAATTGTACTGTTAAACTTCAGATTTTACTGATTTGCAGTTTTACTAACCTTTTACTGTCTTTGCTAATTTGATCATTTGTATGTGATCATGCAATAATGCATCAATTCTGTTGCAATGCACATTACATGCTCCAGTTTGTGGTGCTATACTGTTTGAGTGTTTTCTTTGTCAATATGTCATGTTGCAATTTTTTTTTTTTTTTATATCAACAAGTTTGATACTTGTATGAGTTAATAATGTGTATGGCTATTTGCATAGGCACTGGGGACCACACTTTTGAACGGAGGTTGCGTTTAGGTGGACCGTTGCTAAAGGAAAATATAGCAACTATGGTTCTTGAGAGGTGGGAACCCCTGTGTCATGTTTTACTTCACCAAGGCAAATCAGTTTGTTTTTATGTTGGATAAATTGAAATCTATATTCGTCGGTCTTGACAGTTTCTAACTCCTTAATTTTGATAACTTGCAGCCCTTTCTATGGACAGAGGCGTCCCATGCTTCAATATGGCTCAAAACTTCGTTGTGTAAGTGATTTGTTGCTATTAGGAAGAGCAACTATAGATGAAGCTCGGTCTCTTTTACACTGGTTAGATGAGGAAGGGTTTGGCAAGCTTGGTATATGTGGGCTTAGCATGGGTCAGGCATCTAAATTCTGAATGCTAAAAGTTTTTGCTTGAAGTTAAAGTTGAAATTTAAAGATTCTAGATATTGTCTAATGACTCTAATCTACGTTTTAGCTTGACCATTTTTTTTATGGATTTCTGCCTTTAGAAAAAGTAAAACATATGTGACGAGCAATTCTGTTTCTACTAGGTGGAGTGCATGCTGCAATGGTTGGATCTTTGCACCCTACGCCAATAGCGACCCTTCCATTCCTCTCCCCTCATTCTGCTGTTGTAGCATTTTGTGAAGGTGTTCTGAAGCATGCAACTGCATGGGATGCATTGCGAGCTGAACTTGAAGTACAACAGGATTCATTGACTCAAGAAGATGTCAGACAGAGGATGAGAGAAGTGCTGTCTCTCACAGATGTTACCCGCTTTCCAATTCCCAAAAATCCTAATTCAGTTATATTTGTTGCTGCTACTGTAAGTGACCTTTTTCATATGCTCAGGCATTAATGGTTTATATTATTTGTATTAGCTGAACATGTTTGTTATGCTGTTGTATTATATAACTTACTTCATGAACACCTGTTCTACTGGGTCTAAAAGAAAGCAAAAACAAGTATCTGAACCTTTTGCTTTTTATCACTGTATCTCTTTTATCTAGATGTTTGCATTGTTTGATCATTCCCCAACCCTTAGGTCACATTGAACCATTCTGGGGGAACATATAAATGCTTTTGAAAATGAAGTCTAGTACTATAGTCAATACTGCACTGTTCACTCTTCTTGATGGCAAAACTTTTTGCCTTTTTCCAGCTTCTTATGTCTGTTAATCTAGTTTAATTTTCTTCCTATGAACTCCTGTGTAGTGCAACATTTTTGTAAGGATTTTCACATTGAACTTTTAAATGATGTTCTAAGATGGCGATTTTGTCATATTTTTTATATGTACAAACATTATTGCACGGATGCACTCATCAATTAGTATAATTTGAATTATTCTGTGGGTTACATGGTCTTGTTTCCTTCTCTGTTTCTTGTGTCTAGTCAAATTTCATGTTAATCCTATTAACATCTGATGCAGATATAATCCTCTGCTCCCTTCCTAGATCTTTTATTTATTTCCTATTTTTTCACTCTAGAATACTGTTTGAGACACACAAGTAAGGTAGGATTCTCTTCACTTATCTTATTGGAACTTATTAGCCCTAAACTCATCTTATCTTATTGAAACCTATCAAACTGAAATAAGTAATAATGAGGGGAGAATTGAGCCATGAACTTTTTTATCTTAACTTATTATTCCCAAACTTATCTTATATGAACTTATTAGCTCATCTGGAGCTACTGGCCACTTATATTAGCCGAACTTATTTGACCTGAAATAAGTGAAAATAAGGTGAGGAAAACAAAGCCTAATATGGCTTAGAAGAGTGCACAAGATACATTAGGCTATTATCCCCAAATAGGCCCTATCATAGACATTCTTTCAAATATACGAAGTATATCATTTGAAGTATGCTTTAGCCTTTGTATGTTGTGTACTTGTGCATGTGTATACTTTCTCGGGCATGTGTGTTTCATTAGATTCATCCTTTCTGACAGTATTTCTTGAGCATTGATTAACCCATCTCTTATTCCAATCTGTATGTCATTTTTGTTATTTGTGGAGGGATTACCTGACTGTAGGGCATTATTAAATTAAAACCCAATTGAAGTCATATTTATGTATTTCAGGATGATGGGTATATACCAAATCACTCAGTGTTGGAGCTTCAGAAAGCTTGGCCAGGATCAGAAGTGAGGTGGGTTAATGGCGGGCATGTATCATCTTTCATTCTTCATAATGGTGAGTTTCGCAGGGCGATTGTTGATGGACTTGACAGATTAAAGTGGAAGGAATCTCCCTTGTGACAAATACAATAGCAATTATTATGTTCAAAGTAACAGATCTGTAAACTGTAAATTTTATTCTTTCTGATTTTCTATTTTTTTTTTCTCTATTTGAATGGAAAAAAATAGGGAGAACCCTTTCATAAAGAAAAAAATTAGGGTATCCACTTTACATGTCCTAAGTTAATTTTTTCCCCCCTTTAGTCATTGCTGCTTTACCAGAGGGGATGTGCACGAACTGGTAACTGAACTGTATCATTTGATCAGTTGGTTTAAACTGAGCATAATGGCCTTCCTTTCAGTTGAATTTTCCCTATTTCATTGTGCTCGTGTATTAATGGTGGAAGATAGAGTGAAAGTACGAAACCAGTTTGGTTTTCTCTGATTTTCTTTGACATCATAATATCTCTAATAGGCAAAGTAGTTCAATTGTAGACTAGAATCAGCATACAAATGTGATGATAATTAGACTGTTAGTTCTTGAACCATCTTCAGAATTTTTTTTCTCTCTTCCATTCCACCTTGCTTAACAATCGAGAACTCATGCACTCTCTAACAGAAAAATTCCCATTTTTGCATTGTCATATCCCAGTCATTCTCTAGTTGCCCAACAGTCTTGAATCTTCTTGATCATTTTCATCTAATTTGTTTTAGTAAGGTGAAAGAACAAGACGAATAGGCGACAGTTAAAACTATAAATAATGTTGAATCCACATCAGCCCCAGCTCATTGTATTCCAAGATTAGAATTCGGTACATTTACAACATATATTGTTGAGTAGACACATCAAATTCATGCATCAGCTTTGAAATAAATAGTCAAAAACCCAATGAGGTAAAGTTGGGAACTCTCATAATCATCAAGGCATATTTTGAGCATTCCAATCTAGGAAGTCTTGGCACATAATCGCACGCAGTCTTGCCCGCCAGCCTTGGCTTGAATTTTGGGTCTGAATAATGGGCTCGATTCGATCTAATTTTTAATTTTCCTTTGTGAGATTTTGAGCAACTGAAAATGTTATTAGTTACGAGTTAATTTTATTCAACCGAAAAATAGGTTTAAAATGACTTGGTAATGTATTTGGCCTAGCCTAGAGCTCAGTCTAGGCCATAATCAACTCTAATGGCAGTGTGTAATTGAGTAATATACAATTGCTAAAGTATAGCATTAATTCATATTAAAATGCTAATAATATTTAGAAACGGACCAAGTTAAAAAATGTTGATACGGATATCATTCAAAAAGAGAGGTATTATAATTTTCAAGGTTAAATTAAAGTCATTATTTATAACTTCGTATGAAAAATTGAAAAGTCCGTTAAAGATATAGTCTAACTATCTTCAATTCGGCTGGCCTGGGACCTGGGTCATTTCAGTTTTGGGCCAAATCAAATTTATCTTATAATTTTGTAGAGTTTTGGTGGGTATTGGTCTGGATACATCAACTCCAATTATGAGTACTTAACCCATATTTTACAAACAATGTAAAACGAGGGAGCTTCAGTTCTCATAGCGAAATTGTTTCTCACATGACATATTTGTAAATAAATCAACAACTTTATTCAATTGTGGATCCCACAATAATGAAAAAGTTGTTGATTTATTCACAAAAATGCCCCCATCAGAAACAAATGTCATTTCTCACTATGAGAAACAGGGAATTTCCCATGTAAAACAACAAATTACAACACCATTACATATTTTACTCCATTTCTAAACTTCATCTATCTGCAACCTGCAGCCATAGGAGGACCACAAAGACACTTATTATGTTCAAAGTTTGTCCTTGCGAACCTCTTCAACCCACTAGGAATCAGCCCACAAAGATGGTTGTAAGTCTTGTGACTAACATCAATGCTCTTCAAGCTCTTCGAAAGCGTAGGTGTTGATCCTTGAGGAGTTTTGATGATGATAGGATAAGCAAACTTCTACTAATGAGATTTCTCTTAGTGTTGAACTAGTGCATGTGAAGTAGACTCAGGGAGTGGAAGAGTAATCTGGCTATGGAGATTTTAAAGAGAAATAAGAGAAAGATAGAAAGAATAGAAGAAGAGTTTTACTTTAGAACTAGACAATGATCCTTATCAGGAACACGGAGAGAAGCTTTCTAACAGGAGCAGGACAACAAACTAAGTAGATAAGTTTGGACTGTGTTGAAAACGCCAAGTTTCAAAGTAACTTGGACTGCGAGTTCCAACAAGGTGCTGAAGAAGAGAAGACCGTATGATCCCAATCCTGTTATGCGAAGAGGAGTAAATGTGATGAATCACAATAACTGTGTTTGAAAGCCTGGATGTTAAGCTTGAGGGATACTATGGGGTCTGAGAGAGAAAGCAGAAAACATTATCAATGAAGAAACTTTGAATGGGTTGAGATTGATAGTTGGAAATGGAAATTTTGCAAGGGTCGAAGAGAAAAAGGATGTATTATCCGAGATCATACCTAAGAATATGGGCTTTTAAGATTAAGGGAAGTCTTGCTCATAATCTTTAGTTTTTCTGCTTCTCACTGTATTTTTGAATGTTACTTTTTTTTTTTTTTTTTTGTTCCTCCCGGTTCACTAATCCGGATTCAAGGATCAATTCTGAGTGGTTAGGTTTTACTCCCCTCTCAATTGTTGTTGTGGGGGATCGAACACAGTTCTCCCTACCAAGTGTAGTCCCAATCACCACTACACCAACAACCAATTAATATGTTAGTTTTATGTTGATTGGGCAAGTTATTGTCTGACTAATTAAAGATTACTTGACACATTCAAGAGTCAATAGTGTTAGATTATCACCTATCCCTCGTCTCTCCCCCTTTTCTCCTTAAAATTGAAAGCTTAACTTTTTTCATGTTTCTTGAAATTAAGCTTGCATTTACGAGGGCGCCCTCATTACTCACTGTGAGAAACGAAACGTTTCTCACAGTGACAGTTTCGTAAATAAAATGTACCACTTTAGTCACGGTGATACATTTTATTTACGAAATGGATGATAAAATTGTACCACTTTAGTCACGGTGGTACATTTTATTTACGAAACTGCCACTGTGAGAAACAAAAACGTTTTTCACAGTATGTAACAGAGATTTACTGTGCATTTACTATTGAACTGTATCAAAATGCTCCCAACTCTTAATAGATGTGTGTATAAGTCTTCTACAAGCTCGTATAATAGTACAGCTTATGCTGACCGATTATCACCATTGCCGGTGAATATTCTACTCCCTCTGTCCCTTAATTTTTGCCCCAATTTCCTTTTTAGTCCGTCCCTTTAATTTTGCCCCATTCTATTTTTGAACATATGAGTCCACATTTCACTCTCACAACCACCCCATTAACCCCACCACTTTTCTCTCTCATCACTTTTTTCCAACCAAAACTTAATAAAGTAACATTACACTATGGGGTAATATATAAGAGAGAGAGGGAGTATATTCTTACTCTATCCTTTGTGTTAGCACCAAAATCGAAGTACCTTACACTTGCAAGCTAAGGTTGTGGACAGCTCTAGATTCAACTGTTCGAAAAGAAGCATTTTAACTTTTTCCTATATGGTGCAGCACTTAAGAGATGACAAGTGATGATTGTTAATCAGGTATAATCTAAATTTATCACTCTTTTAAAATATCAACTTCGAAAACATAATCGATGAAACTACATTTAAAATTTATCTCTTAGCACTTTCGTACAATTCTTATGTTGTATTATGCTATTTGGTGGATTTTAATGTCTATTAATCGTGCCTAAGAATTTTTTTCTACCATGATACATATGTGTGATCTTGTGTATGTAAAGCCTATTATTTTATGGGCTTGTCCTAGTTTCTCACAGTGAAAAACAAAAATTGTTTCTCACATGATATTTTCGTAAATAAACCAACAATTTTATCCAATCACCTTTAATTGTAAAGCCCATAATTATGAAAAAGTTTATTAATTTATGAAAATGCCATGTGAGAAACAAGTATTTACCCTTATTTTATTATCACTTAACAAGTCTACTTGATCTGGTTTGATTGGTGTTTGTCTGTGAGGTTTTTGTTGTGTCACAATTAGTGTGGCATGAGTAAGAGCCGTATGAGTGGACAAGATATACTATGCTTTTACGTAGCCGTGCTCCTACTTTGTGGTGGGCAGCAATCTGTGGGCAGTAGCAAGCTGGGGTGCATTGTGGGATGATAGGGTGGTATGGGTGATGTTGTAGAGGCAGTAAGAGTGGATGTGTGTTGGTGCTGCAGAGTAGCAAAGGTGGCATAAGGGTAGGTTTTGTTTTTGCTCCTTAAATCTTGATAGTTTTTAAAGTAAGAAAGGTATACACTCTATAGGGTGAAGCTTAAAAGGTCCATTTAGTAGTAGTATTTAAAAGCTAGCTGATTGTATTTTAATGGAAAATTTTATTTATAAGTGATCGAATTTGAAAAGGACCTTTTAAGTGAAAATTTGTGAAATGGGACATTTTAAATTGTATTATGTTATGAGGGGGTAATAGGCTGAGTTTTCGTCCGGGTGGTCAACAACGGAGCTTTGGCGTTGACTCTCACATGGGAGTCACGTGACTTTTAAAAATAAGTCCACACGTCTTTTTAGGAAGTATGAAAGGGGAAAAATAAAAGGGGTAGTTCGAAAAGGAGGGAAATTTGGGGGAAAAGGGGAGAAAAACGTGTGGGTTTTTTTTTTCAGAAGTCACGTGACCCCCACGTGAGAGTCAACGTCGGAGCTCCACTGTTGACCATACGGAATACTCAGCCTAGTACCCTCTCACAACATAATACAACTTAAAAGGTCTTTTTTCACAACTTTTAACTTAAAAGGTCCTTTTAAACAAAATCGACCACTTAAAAAGTGCTTTCACACAAATCTTCCTATTTAAATAGAGTCATATTCAACTTCACTCTCAGTAGTGGATCATGTATTCCTATTATGATGCTTAGTCTTCAACTTAACATTAGGTAATTTTGCTTTTCAAATTTCTGCTATGACTATCTATAAGTTAAATGTATTACCATGAAAGTTTTTTTGGAAAGCCTATTAGTTCATATGATAGAGCAATGTGCTATTGCACATATACGTAGATTCAAGTCCTATATAAGCCGGAATATGCATTTTTAGGTCCCAAAATTACATAGGTTTAAGTCCTACATTGGTTGGAATACACATATTCTTAGGTCCGAATTCTACAAAGATTCGAATCCAATCTAAAATATGATGTGAGAAGGTCAACTGTAACCATCAAAAATTAAGCACTAAACAACACAGTTCAAAAACATGTCTAAAATCAGTTGCAATTTTTAGATCATAATCCTATACCTTAGCAGCAAAGATAGCGGAATTC